TTTGTACCGAGTTCGTATATGTTCATTAAAAGTCGGTTTATGAAGGTCAGTATGTAAGGTTATGTTGACAACATACCAGGGTGCTTTTGTAATTGTCCTCAATGTTTTTGGTTGAAAGATTTGAAGATTGTTTATGTGAATCTTACTAACTGCACCAAATATCTCTAATGTGTAAGTCCAAATAGTAATCTTGCGCAATCCAAAAAGTAAATTTATGTGTTCTATTTCTATAGTTTGGATGCTTCGAGCGAAGTGAATTTAGAAGTATTAGTCTTTGATTTAATATTTTTGTTTTATTTAATATATTTTTGTTATATGCGGGCCAAATGTCATTTTTCGGTCAAATGTAAGACTTAGGTAATGAACAGTCTCCAGAAATATGCAGGAAATTGTCTGTAAAATCTGTGTATTATCAAAATATTTATTTGGATTTTCCGAAATTTGAACCAGTGATGTAATCTTGCTACATACTGCTATGTATTCTAAAGACCGTCGGTGGAACTCATTTAATTATTTTAAAGGTCTAAATAAATAAATATCATAAGTGCTCACATCTGGCGGTACCTGAGCAAGGTTAACGACCCACGAGCCCAACCGTTTGTAAGTGGTAATAAAAACCCTTAAGAACCACCGACCAAGGCCGACAACTGGGTGTTTAAACAGGATCCAGAAAGACCTTTCACACCTTCCACCAGAAATACATAAAATATACCTGGTTAGTGGAATACCTTGGCCTGGGGGAGAGGGCGTAGTCATCCCTTAGGCTAGGAATATTCAGCCAATCAGGAAAAAGTACAAAAAGAGAGGGGAGTGACTGGAAACTAGGACGGTTAAAGTTTTGAGGAGGGAATTGATCAGGAGAAGCGGAGAGAGCAAGATATAGACTGATAGCTGGGACTCAGGCTAGGACACTTGAAGTTGGGACTTCAAGCGGGGGAGTCGAAGGACGGTTGAACACTAGGAGGAAGACGGAGGCTGAGTAGAGCGACATGGAAGGAGACTCGAAGATGAAGATGAACCAGCTAGGTAATAACCCCCATTTAGTAATACAGATGTAAACTTGTGTTGGCAACCATGAATCATTAATTAATAGAATCAATAGAACACATGTAACTTTAATCAAACATCAAGCATTCTCCTCCAGATGATTCTCTACCATTCATTATGTATATAGATTTGTTGATTATTTTGTGTATATGGTTTGATTTTATTTAAGCTTGTAAATATAATAGTTAGTAAACCATCTTGTTAATTTGACAAACTCCCTTGCATGCCATCTATTAGAAATAGAAACAAATAGTAAATTTAAAAACACGATACATCTAGAAATGAAATCCAATAAAAATTATATGGTTCAATATAGGATACTACAGTAGGGGGTCTGTGGTATCTAACCTTTTAATACAGAATTCATACATTTTTCTGTTGATCGGTTACCTTCTGGAACCGATATAAATACTAATATAAGTATTAAATACAAATAAATGCGGTTTCTGAAACCCCCTACTCGCCGTAGAAACGCGAGGCCAGGAACATAACAATACTGTTTTAGAGTCAGTAAGGCATATGTTGGACTTTTGTCTAAAATTGTGGTGACCTCTGCATATGTCGCCGTTAAAATGTTGGAACTACAAGCTATGTCATGGGTGTATGTAATACAGAGTGATGGAGCGAGTACTGTACTTGGAGGTACTCTTGCTGAGATAGACCTGATGGAAGATATTTCTGCCCTCTGTCGTATGGAAAAAAATCTGTTGAAAAGGGAGCACTGTAGAAGTAGGCAGTAGGAAGATGGAAGTATTTTTTATTGAAGTATTACAAATTTACACCGCAGTTGCCTGGAATTCATAAAATGAAAAGAAAAAAGAACCTACAGTGTTTTCTTCTTAGTAAAAGGCTTATTAAGAGAGTACAAAATTTTCAGAACTCAAGAAAAAATTATTTTAAAACGGGATCATGAAACATAAATAAATATAATAAAAATAAGTAATTTTAAAGTGCTAGTGGAGGGAGGGGGTTTTGGTTCTAGTTCTAGTTATAATTCACTTCTCTCTAATTCACTTATCTAAATTCATTTTTCCTAACTAAAGAAATGGTACACATTTAACTATAATTCTAGCTAGATATAATTTTCGTTATAAATGAAAATTAAATAGTATTTTTCAGTTTGTGGCTTTTATTGAGAGGTTGCACTCTCTAACCCAAGGATAATGGAAAATGGAAATCCCGATTGGGTTCCTCCAATGAGCAAGGTCAGCGGGTGTATATCGGCTTACACGGGACAGTACCGGCTGATGGATTTATCAGAGTTTAGCGGTCATAGCCAATAGGAGCCCGGGATAGAGGGATTATACCGGCAAAATATCTAGCCAGCCATTTTCCACTTTTCCAATACCTCAATTTTTATTCCAATTATCCGCTTCCCTTGCAGGCCAATATGAATCTTCTCCCTATTAAGTTTTTTGGATGAATGCTTTATATTAATCTTCCACATCCTGCCTGTGACGAGAGATCTAACTTTTATTTTCAACATTCTATATAGCTTATAACAGTATAATAAATTTAGATTACCAATTTATGTCCAAAATCGATTCCTTAAAATTATGTTAAAAAAAAAAATGTTTTAACTTGTGATATAATTTGTTGCCTGTATAAGGTTTTAATTTTGATTGATTATTATTTAATCAGTTCACTTATAAAATAAAACTCTAGTAATATTGGTTGCTGATACTACTTCATGCAGTATTAAAACACTATTTTCAATACATAGATAGGCAAAGGCAACAGTTCAGTTATTGGAGAACTTTATTGTTATCAACAGAGAAAAAAAAAATTGGAATCAGTATATATATATATATATATATATATATATATATATATATATAAATATGTTAATTCTAGTTTTTCAAAACCATTAATCTCTGAAAGTTTCTATTCGGTTAGTAAAATCTTAAATTGAAGTTGCTAATAATGCATCTGATGAAGATGTTAAATATGCATTATTGCTTTATATTGATAAATCGTCTATTTTAAATATTATGATTACGAATTATATCAGGATTTATTATTAAATAAATAATTGATTATTAAATATATACAACTAATAAAAATAAAATAAGTGGTTTAAAGCGACCTTTTTACAGTAATTGAAGAAGTGACTGTTCCTAACTGAACTGGTCACATATGAAGATTTACGATTACGTAAAAAAAAAAAAAATAATAAAATACAACATCCAGCTCTTATTTAATATACCTACATACATGCATTTCATACATAAACTATGTATATGTATTGGCACACATCAATGTTAATTACATATTTATGTTATTTTAAACAAGAGGTGTATGAAATTCCGAAAATATCCATGAAATTTTCTTTTATTTTCGCCAATAATACAAGACTCACAAAGCTGACCTTTGAAGATAATTCCTGGAAAATATTGGCTTGTGGTGAGAGATTAGATTCCCCTTTGAAAGTTGACCCTTTCACTTTATATCCGAATGAACCTTTGTTCCCATCCTGACATTAATTCTTGTTGCATCAAACATGAATATTGTAGTTGACCTTCTGATGTTTAATTGCGTACATGAGTCATAGATAAATTTTAATTTCAATAAAACATGCATTCGATTACATTTTCTATATTTTTTTCTTTATAGATATAGTAAGATAAACAAATATTTGATCATTCAAGAAAATCAGGCCGTTAGAGTAAACAGGTGAGTGAAAAGAGGAAACAGAAGATAAGATATATTTTTTTTCTATACCAGTTTTAATCAGTTTTTATTAGGTACAGGACAGTTAAATATCGTTCGATCCTAAACCCAGTTTTATGTCAGGCGTATTTCGTGAGATTTATTAGGAGGAGCAGAGAAAAACGGATAACCAAAATTATTATAATAATCATAAGAGATTTTTTAGGCGTGACTGATTACTTCTGTATTTTTTATTATTCTCGTAATAAGAAATTTTGGCTAATGTTAATTTTGAAAATGCTGACATAAAAGAATTGAATAGCAATAAGGTTATGAAAGGTAAAAAAAAAATAATAATAAAAAAGTATAAAGCATTAATAATGTACAATAATAGTGTTTTGTTTATTTGATTTTGTCTATCTATTTTTAACAGTTACAGTATTTTAGTTTCACATCTTTATTATCTATGTTTTAATTACGTTTTAGGTAATCCAGAATAAAGTAGCTCCTTAAGGTTTTCCAATCCATTCTTTTATTTATACACTATTACTTCAAATCACCATGTGATTGATAATTACCAGCTCTTTGGTAATGTAAGAATTCTCTATTATAGATAGGGGATTTATTAAGCGTTAAATAGCTCACGTATTTTTAGTCAACAGATGAGGTATATGTGGTACGAATAAACAATAAGCCTCGATACGGATTCGTTGTTGAAGAAATTCGATTTGCCCCTAAATTGTAGTTAACCAATAACAAAAAAAAAAAACGAGTATTATTTTATCAGTTAGGATACAAAACTACATATTAATAATTTTTCATTGATCTATTCGTAGTTGTAATAATGACATAAACGGTAGTGTAAAAAAAAATGTATATTTTATTCATATTAAAGATAAGTATCAAAATGTAAGTGGTATATCGAAGGAAATCCCAAAAGCTTTTAAAATACCACATTTTGCAAACCGCTATGGTATCGGTGATAGAATTCTTCTTTTAGATATCCTGAGCTATTTCAAACATTTATTTTTTAGAAGGCACTTTCGAAACAGGTCGTTTGCTAACTGATCATGAAAGGTTTCCAGTTATAGATTAATGTTATCATTTCTTTGATATTTTGACCTCATTGGATTATAAATATTTTTTCCACGTTATGTCATTATTCATTCGATTTATGATTATGTATGTTATAAATAAATTAATCTTCAGAAAATAAAGTTAAGACAACTCTAAAACAATTTATGTAGCTATATAAGAACAAATAAACATGACATATGACATTATATAAACATTATTTGACTTACCACTTTTCGTTTAGGGCAGAGGAAGGCGTGACACTCGAGGGTATCATTGTCGTTGATGGCTATGAAGGCAAACACATGACCGTGTGTCGCATCAGCTGAACAGTATGATATCCTGAAATATATTTTTGTTTATTTAATAATTGATACATAATTACAATTATATGGATTATATAAAGGATGAATTATATGGATAAGCTGAATCTAAATTATTTCACGACCTGCTTTTTTTCTTTTTTAATTACTAAATGAGTCAGAGGGATGAAATTTCTACAGCAAAATAAATTTGCGTAGTCGAAGTAACTTTTGTGGTATAAACTTTTTTCCACATCATTGTTTCTTGTCTTTTCGTTTTGTGTTGTTTTTGTTCAACCTACCTCAACAATAATAGCATTAGACCAGAGAGGGAAATTATATCGCATGTGTCCAACCTATTCTTAACGCAGAGGAAATGTCAAAATTGATTGCGTATGACCGCCGAAAAATAAGTTTCATACTGCACAGCCATGATTCTAACCCGCATTAGTAAAATCGAGGTTGTTGATTGCTAAAACTATAATCCGCATGGACACCACTTGCTCTCATGTTTTGCCTAGATCTAAAGCTGCTTCTAATCGAGTTAAAGGGCTGGGAATTGGTAAATAAATTGACTAACCATTTGTAAAGGAATTAAGAAAATTCAAATAAAACTTAAAAAATAAAATTAAGAAGTTTAATTTATTTTAGAACTATATTCAGGCCTTTATAAAACTATAAAATAGAGCAAAAATTAAATTTATTATTTTTTTTTGTTATATTTCTTGGACGAAAATACTACCTCAGTGATGGAGATATGCTGTTAAATTGTTGTTTTTTTCCTTTAATAGTTAAGATTATTTTGATTTATTTGTGATTATTTTTTAAATGAAAAATTATATTTTACGGATAGTAAATTTCGTCATTATATTTTAGAGATTTTTTTTTTTCATTTCACGTTATACTTAGTCGATTCATTTTTGTGACGATGTATTCCTTGTTTCATACCTATGCACCCCATTTTTAAAGACTTTACTCTATTTTCAAAAAGTATTTAGTTCCGTAAGTTTCCATCTTGCAAGTATTTCATTAGCTATGATTTTTATGTCGTACATTATTATTGCTAAAAATTAAAGGGAATCTGAAGAATTTATCACAACTTATAATCAGTTTAAAGTTTTGAATCCAGCCAGTTACTTTCTTATTATTTTTATGTATATGGTGATATGGTGCTAAATGATGTATTATATTACAATATCGATACTTTTAGTGCAAAAGGTCGTATATAGCTATTTCACATCTTCTTTCTCTTTGCGCAAAAGGTGACATTTCGTTGCTTGCAACTGCTATAAGTAGTATCGTAAATAGGAAAATAGCAGAGAGAAATAAAATATGAAATTATAGTAATAAGTCAAAAAGAAATATGCTTTTCTGTAAAAAAAAAACTACTCAATTTTTCGATAAGAAGTTTTGCACTGATAGTTGCTGATGTGCGTTAAACTCGATGTGATAAAAAATAATACCAGCGGATGTAATTAAAGAAGATACAATTATAAATTTATCATTTTACAATGTCTAATATAAGAATATATATCAATCAATTAGTCTCTAATATTATACTAATATACATAGAAAAAGTAAATTACTGCTAATCTGAAAAAAAAAAAAATTTTGACAAAATTTTGATACACACATGTGTTCTAACCTTAGTCAAACCTATTCAATAGAAGAATACATCACATTGTTATTATTGTCCTTATTGATATAAGCAATATTATTAATATAATTTTATGTATGTACCTGTAAAGCGATATATCCATTAGGTGTGTTTTAGTTTCTAATTCCATCACATTGATCCCCCTGAGGTTGACAGCGAACTGTACTTCCGTAGGTTTCTTACCGAAAGCTTTGGCCTGAAAAATTACAGTATTCCAATGTACACATAAACATTAAAAATTAATTTATTTTTATGGAACTTGTTATAATCAATTTAAAACTTGTTACATTAAAAAGTAGCTAGAAAAAAAGCTTTAAGTAAATAAACTATGTATACCAAATCAAACCAGTGAGACTATTTACAAAATACTACAATTATATACAATACGAATAACAAATTAAAAAGGCTATGAAACAAAATAATCTCTGCATAGTTAAAAAGATTAAAGAATATAATAATCAAAACAAATATATTAAAAAAGGCAAAAAAAAAAAACAGTAGAATACAAAATAAAATCCTCTAACAAATAAGCAACAAATCTCCTCTGAATAAAAGAAAATTTCAATTCATATTGAAATACACATACACATACACCGAAATATATACATAAACGAAGTTATCAAAAGAAAGATGGTGTTAAAAAAAAAAAAGATAATATAAATAGATGGATAAATTATGCATAGAAGGTCATAAGTAATATGTACAAAAAACAACAACAAATAAATTAAGATAAGAAATATTGTTTTTTACATTATTACTTAGTATGTGGTTATCCGTTTTCTGACTGTTGCGAGAAAAGAAGTTGGAATAGGAGGGTTTTAAAAGTGGATAGGGAGGGACCATGTCGAATTTTAAAAGGTAAAGAATTCCAGAATGAAGCAGAGTGGACGACGAAGGAGTTTTGAAAAGAGGAGTTTGAAGATCTGTGAAAAGGAGTATAAATTGTAAAGACAAATAAAAAAAGTTAGATAAGTATAGATACGAATTCTAAAACTGACGAAAATATTGTTGTGTTAGTTTAAAGACAAATATTTTATGATTCGATTAAAAAAAAAAAAAGACTATTTATAAACATTGACTATATAAAGAAAGTTCGTAATTTAAAATAAGGGAATTATTAAGTCTAATAAAGTGAAAATTATTAAGTCTAATAAAGTGAAAACCGACGATTATAATATAAAATATATGTGTTAGTTAAGTATTTGCTATTAAAACAGGCATCATGTCCGAAATATTAAAAAATACTAAACGAATTAATAGAGGTGGCTAATTGAACATCTGGAAGTTTTTAATATTCTCTTAACCCGATTGCACAGCAATTAGTAAATAAAATATTTACTGAAAAGTATTAAAAAAATTGAATAAAATAACGGATAAAAAAAAAAAAAATAAGAATCAGTAAATCAAACCTAAATCGCTCTCGCTTAATCTCCACTGGATTCGGCACGAGTGACGTGGTTGAGAGAGTAGAGCTGGGATCTCTTGCAGGCCTGCTTTTCTATAGTTAGAGGGACAATCCTATCCTGAGGTCGGTATGACAGTGTTTTTATTTTTGTGTTGTTTATGTTATTTTTGTTTTTATGTTTTTATTTATGTTGTTAATTTACTTATATTTTTGTTAATTTATTTTTTTATTTTCAATACTCTTATTATTTAGTTGTTATTTTTCTTTTGCTTATTTTATGTCTTCTGTATACCTTGTGTGAATGCGTTCTTATAATTATTGTCGTATGACATATTGTTATATTTCTACATTAAAAAAAATAAATTAAGCAAAGAAAAAATATTGAATAAAGATTAAATAAAAATTAGAAACAAATTAGTAGCTGCAGAAAGTAAATAAATAAAATTAAATATAAATGTTTTAAATGAAATAAACTTATTTCGTAAAAATTATAGTTGTTCCTTTTTTTCTCAATTTTTATTCATAATTTTGTCAATGTATATATATTTTTTTTTCGCAAAAACAATGCGTTTAATATAAATCTTAAATAATCTTGAGAGTTTCAACTAATAACAATCAAAATTCGACCAATTTTTTGAGGGTATATTAGTAATATGATGGTCTCAACCTGTGACTAAATTCAATTCTGCAATTGAAATACATACATTCCAATGTCTGATCATGAAAATGTTTTCGGTCGGCCGAATAAGACACATAAATCAGACTGACCCCTCCCTCCCCCCCCTCTCTCCCCCGCAACAAACAAGCTATAAATATCACCAAGGTGAGCACTCGTTTATTCTATTTATTCTTACGCTGCCCGAGCGATCACCTGGGAAAACATCAATCTACTTTTTAGAGCACCGAATTTTCAATTCCTTTTATAACGATTTCATTGAATTAATTGTTTTAAGATAATTTTAAATTTATACCTAATTAACAACCTATTGAATATGACTAATAGAAAAATGTCTGAACATTTATCAATGATATTTTATAGCTTTGATACAAGATGTTATTTCGACTATTATTCTCATTTCCTATATTACTCAACCACAGAGATCTCCAAACTATGAGATTCCTTGACTAAGCGGTATCATGAAAGGATAGATATCCAGCTCGGGCTAAATCAGCGCCATATGGAACATTAAGGTCTTTAAGAATAGTTTTATTTGTGACAAAATATGGGGCATTAAGGATTTTAAATTGGATTTTGGATTGGATACGATAGGAATTCGATGGTTTGTTGGAGCCCCAAAGCTCAACTCTGTATGTCCATAAAGGTATTATTATAGTTTTGTAGATGAGTCTTTTGTGATTAATTGGGTACTTGTGAGCGACACGGTCTCTATGGACTGCTATCTGCAGTTTATATTTCTTATTATACGAGAGTCAAATTTCATATGACGATATAGATTATCATTGCCTTATGACAATTATCAGTGCTCAGGTTATAAACATTTAATAGTAAGAAATATAAATAACAACAACAACACTTTAAATAACAAGATAACTGCAGATAACAATCCATACAGACCACGTCGCTCACAAGTACCATTAATTGAAAGTTTAGAGCGTGTGTCTAGTAAGTGTCGAAGCATTCGTAAACGTCTAGCAGTTTCTTGTCGTTTCAGTCTAGTATACGTATTCCAAGTAAGACGTTTATCCAAGTGTGGCCCTAGGTAACGGATTTGTTTAACAGGAATAAGTGGAATATTCTTGAAGGATATTGCAGGCAGGAAGTCATCGAAGCTTTACGACGGAGGATAAATATGATTTGATGGGATTTAAATGAATTCATTTTTCCCCAGTTTTAGATAAAACTAGTAAAAAAAAAAATGTTTTTAACTGAGGTTTTCGACCATTACCAAATCATTAAGAGGTGCATTTTTAGTTAAATTAACCCTTTTTCGATCGCCAACTGTCAAGCATAATATTTTTACAATCATTCAATGGCCATGGAATCGTAAACAACATTTTACTTAAAATAGCACACACAATCAAACCTTCAACTGCTAAGAGTACTCATCCACTATAGTCCTATATTATGGGAATTTCCAATACAGGTCATGACTTAATATGAAATGTGTTACTCTTTAAGTCAAACTAAGATTGGTGAATGATAAAAAAAAATAAGTTGATGTTACGAATTTGAAAAATCAATCATAGAAAGTACCTAAATGATTACAGAAAATAAATTATAAACCATTCTATGCCGATGTATTATAATGTGTAGGTAACCCTGATTTTGACCAATTTTCGATCATCGATATATCGATATTTTTTACCACAAGGGACTGGAGGTCTCAATGTGGCCAACAAGTGTGTTGACCTCATACCACCTTTTTTCTCTTAGCCCTGAAGAAGGCCGTTAAATCAGACAGAAACTTTGACCCGGATGAAGAAGTGAATATTCTTTAATGCGTGTTCTATTTCAAACCACACTTTAAGCCACCTATGTTTCGATTAATATTAATATTAATGTTACATTACAGCCACATATGTTATTTTTAATATTAATGCTTATATTTCAAATTTTTGTTTAGGATTGATGAATTCCAAGCAATAAAATTATTATATAAATATAAGCTATCATATAAAATTTTATTTATAATTTTTATTTTTTTAAGTGAAAAATTCTTTAGTCTCACTTTGCACTTTTTTGTGGATAGTGAGCTATATTCAGCTGTCACATCTTCGATGTGTAACGCTTGTGCGAATTCGGCTGGAGTCGATTACTTGAAGTGGTTTTTCATATTGATTAAAATATCTTAAAATCGGACATGCATATCGTTAGAGATGGAAAATGTTTATCATTTCATTCTCTTTGTAATGAGCTATTATTAAAAATTGGATCACGTGACGCCGTGTTAGGGAGGTGAAAAGAAAAAAAAATTGTGTCGAAAAACAAATCATAACGAGTTTTATTTCATAATTATAATAGCTAATATTTATAATTTATATTTCATATTATTAATTTCGCCTTGTTGATGTTTTCACTTCTTTCGTGTGGTCTGAAACACTCACAGCTTAATATATATATATATATATATATATATATATATATATATATATATATATATATATATATATATATATATATATATATAAATTCTAGTTTAACAACATTGTATACCTATCAGATAGAATATGTTTTTAAAGCAATTATAAATTTTACAGTGAAAAGAAAAGATAAAACTGTAAAATCGATGCAAACAAATAAGGACCTTTTTTTCTGGAACTTTTAGATATTCTTATGAATTAAATGTAAATGTAATCCAGTTATATCCGATTCTGGTTATGATAATAGCTTTGTTTCATCTCATTCTTGGTGGCAATTCATTATTTCCAAGTGTTGAGGACGAGTGGATGGAAAGGGGCAAGTGTGTTAGCACAAGACCTGCTTGCTACTAATGAACGGAGCCAGGGAGGATAAACCCCAGCTTGGTATAATTATATAATCGTTTGAGCCATCGGCTATAACCCTCCGACGAATTATAGGAGCCCAAAACATGACCTGATAACGGCAATGAGGTTTTTAATAGATTACGTATCCTGAAAACGGATCCTTTTACGAAATTCATAATGTATCAGTAATAATTAGAGACTATTATCATTTAATCCCACCTTGGACTTCGCAATACTATTTTAATATAATACTATTTAGTATAATACCATTAAATATCGAAACTACATGCGATTAGTGGAAACAACATGGAAATACTAAAATAAAAGATTACTGGCAGAAAAATGAGTTGAACCAAGAAGGGGGAGTATAGCAAGAGGAGCTCAATATAAAGAAATGGAGAATATGATAGTCCATTTATTTTTCAATCACTTGTATTAATTTATGTACCGTAATTAGAATCGGTTATTTCTTAGTAAAATACTTTTTCTTCTAGCACCTCTTTTATCGAAAAAAATACTTCTGAAATTTGACATAGGTATGTTCACCACAAAATAATTACAAAGTCATTTACAATATTTACAAAAAATCAGTAAGCCGTCAATGTGAGGACAATGTACCTAAATTGAAAAATTGTTAAAAGTATTGCGGCATATAAAATTTACTTACATAACAATTTTTTAGAAACTAACAAAAAGAAAAAATCCTGAAGATGGTACAGAGACCCTGAACGGTGAACATATAACTAGATTGTATAAGTAACAAAATATTGTATAAAGTATAAAGATTGTATAATCAACATACTATAATTTTGCTTCCTGTATAGAGTAATTTATCAAAAAACGTCTGGCACCTGGTTTATAAAAAAAAAATTGTTACTGAGTAGTATTGCCCAAATGCGAGACCTAAGTCTTTGTCTTGCGCGCTCAGTTTTGGTCTTGTCCAAGGGTCTCGCCATGGTATCTCATGTATCTATTAACCTATTACTATAGCGATATTAGTGTAATTTTTCAGGCAGGAGAAACCTAACTAAGCCCGGATAAAAAAATGGAAGAGTTAAATGCAAAAGTATCTTGGTTATACCAATTATTTACATATAGTAACTAAAATTGTCCAGTATTAGTAACTATTTTGACTTAATTTTTATTCACAGAATTTTTTTTTTTGACAACTCTTGATCTTGGTCTTGCAGGCAAGACCGATTTTGAGCAACACTACTTCTGAGAGCTGAAAAAATATTTGAGTACTACGCAATAATAAGACATGTACGAAAAGTTCGGAGATCTTAGATTCAAGCCCCTTCCATCAAGGCATGAGAGCAAAAGAGGAGTTTAGAAGATTCCACTGTAATTTCAGAGCCCTGTACAGATGTTAAATGCTCAGTAATGGTGTTTTAGGCCATAAATATTAATCAATCAAACAAGTAATCATTTCTAAGGTAAAAAATGATTCTAATAATGTCCATTTTAGTTGCCTATTACAATACTATCCTATACATGCGTCAATGGATAGTAGTTATTAAAATTACCATAGAAACAAAAGAATGAATTTTAGCAATACCCTACAAAATCAGCAAATCTCTGCATTGAGCAACGTAACATTATACACCTCGCAAAGCTTTAACAAATATTTTATAGGCTGCAGTTTAAAGTGGAGAGGTGCTTTGATCAGCCCACATCAAAGTGGCCTATCGAACCACAAATCCTCCAATGGACCTCTCTTCCCTTTCCTGTCTCTTTTACTAAATATCGAACCCTTATAGCTTTTTGTGTTTTTTTTTTTTCCTTTTTTCCTTCCGCTCCGAAACAATGTTTACCCACAAAGGACTAAACGTAATCCTGTTTTTAGAGTGAATAAATTTAACAAGCCGTTTTAATATTGACATTACTGTTTTATCGTTATTTGTGGTAGCATTTCAAAGAATTTTCTTTTATTGGCCCAATGAATATTTTCTAAGGGTGTCTTATAATTGTATAATGGATAGAGGAAAATATTAAACCGTAAAATTAATGCTGAACAAAATAAGTGATTTAGTTTAACAAAGGATTTTTATATTAGGTAAACATCAGGAAACTTTTCTCTTCCGTATATCTGTTAATTTATTCTGTCCAACGTTTCGAATTCTTTGTCCATCTTCAGAGATTCGGAGATTCCAAAGATGAACAAAGAGTCTGTAACTTTGGAAAGAATAAATCAATTTATATATGGAAGAGAAAAGTTTCATGCTATATACCTAAAATAACAAAAAAAATCTTCCTTGAATAAATTATAAAAAATAAATAATATAAGAGGATTTCTATAAAGTTTTTAGGTGCTTTCTTTATAGTCTTCATTAGAGGTACTTTACCTTGGAATTACATTTGACAGAAGGATGACATGGAGCCCGCATGTCAAAATGAAACTTATGACACTTAATAAAGGACTCCAACTACTTTACTCGGTTTCTGCTAAATCTATAAAACTAAAACTGAATACACATACATACTTATTTAAACCCATTATAACGGTACTCATTACAAATATACGGTGAGGCTAAAAAGAACGACCTACAAAAACTTCAAACCTTCCAATCAAATTATTGACCAACATATAACGACCCTTTATCAATGATTTTACTCTAATTTAAACGAACATAATATCAGACTAATATGAGACATAGCCACAGCTGACATACCTCAGAAGATGAGGAGCAGACTAAAAAGGCGTTGGATGAGAGATCTGCTTAAACAACTTAAGTAATTGGTCAGTATTTCGAATTATGTCATGTCAGTATTTCCTCTATCATGCAGCAAATATGATTATCAACAAGTTCTCAGGAGCAAATACAGTTTAATAGACCAATAATTAATTTCATTAATTATTGTACTCTAAAAATACACAAAATTTGATCCATTTATTCACCTGGTAACGGTAACCTTCAAATGTATCTCTAAGCCACCTGAATAGTAAAGGGGTACCTAGATAGGGAACAAATGATTTTTATACTTATGTTATTCTTTGACATACAACCATGCTTAACGTTGTGATCCCATGATTGTATTTATTCCTATAATTATATTAGGTAATTATTAATTTAAAAATTTATGTGGCAAAGATAAGCGTCTTTTTTTATTTATTTTTACTGAGGAGCCTATTATTTTTTTCCGTGAACACAATACTTAATGCGTAAACACACGACGGACCTGTTTAGACAATATTTACATATAGATTTTCATGCAGTCTATCAATTTTTCTAATAGTTCGTTAGGTAATATATTTTAAAAGACTAAATTTCCTTACGTTTTTGTTCACTATGGTTTTGACTGCATCGGCTGTCGCTTTTGCGCTGCTCGGCGTCGATACTGTGGTGGATCCAAGATATTTCACATTGAAGGTAATCCCTTCTAGCGTCGATCCTGGGGTTTCTGCTTCGCCTTCCTGTTTCTTAGGCGCAAGATCCCACTCATCACTTAGTTCTAGAACAAACAGAATACCATTATAAATACCTAACACATGATGTATGGAAAAGGTATTAAAAATTTGAATTTTATTATTTTAACGTTGTTTTTTTTTTTTTTTGGAAAAGGTATTAAAAATTTGAATTTTATTATTTTAACGTTGTTTTTTTTTTCAATATCAAGCATTCTTGATAAACATATCGTACCCATCGTTTTTCGTACCCATATTCATAAATAAAGTATTAGTTTATAACTTCTGACCGCTAAAATTACTCTGACTCGATTAACACCTTAAAATAACATAATTTTTTTTTATTTACCAAATATTCCTTCTACGTTTACCTTATTAAAAACTTCAATCTAGCGGATAAGAAGTAAGTTAGAAATATTTTCAACTCTGTTTAGAGAGTTTTGTATTCAAAATAATTTTCATATCAAATTTTAAATTAAAATTTTAAACAATGTCACCAAAACATCAAATAGGCACAACACACTAATATATCCAAAACAAAACGAAAAAGAAGACAACATGAATTAAATGGAAAAAAAAAAAAACACCAAGGAATAAAATATATCTATATATAAGGATAATTCAAAAACTTAACTTTGTCATCTTTAGTAACACCGGGAGGTGAAAAATCAATGAACCTTTATTTCCGTTTTTGCAATAATATTAAATAATGTTATCTGTTAAATAATGTTTTCAATCTTTACTGATATATATGTATATTAAACAGCACACTTATAAAGTGCATGAAGTAAATTTTCATGCTGAGTATTGCTAATCTCATTTGAAAATTATTAATTTTGTTTAGAGATAAACCAATGAAACACACACACAAAAAAAAAAAAAAATATTTATATATGGTTCTATGTTTCGCCGCCATTTTATTGGCCTCCATTTCGAAGTCAAATTTTCTACACAGTTAAGCCGAGGCTGAAGAAAAGTGTGCACACTCATTTATTTTTTTGATCAGCCATTATTAAAAGAGGGATATAGAAATGAATGGTTCTAGTTGTCTGGTTATTTTTCTTGCTTCATTTCTAGATGAAATGAAGATATACAATGTAGGTAGAAACGTTGGTAATCAATATATCAGCTACTAATATATTGTATGTGTTTATTAATCATACCCCTACCAAGTTCTGTTTAAATATATATATATATATATATATATATATATATATATATATATATATATATATATATATATATTTATGTGTGTATTAAATAATTATAAATATCAAGCTAAAAAAATAATATGTATATATATATATATATATATATATATATATATATGTGTGTGTGTATTAAATAATTATAAATATCAAGCTAAAAACTGAAAATTTTCAAAATTTCTATGCAACTAAAGCTTCAGATATATTTTTTTTATTTTTAAGAAATCTTAAAATTTGATACATAGATACATAGAGATTCGACTGTAAGTAAGAAATTTGTTATTCCAACCACTTTTTACTCTCATCCATCGAGAATATCATGTTCCATTAAATTATTGATTCGCGGAACTCCATTCAAACATTAGCAGGTAGATGTAATCTTCTGTTACGATGTCATTTCATGACAATATCCCTACAGTTGTTATGACTATACTCAATTGTAGTATATGTCGAATTATTGAAATTTATGTCAGTTGTGTATGGCACGTTGTCAGTTTTCACATCGATACATGTTATGTGGCCACCATCCTTCCATTTGTCAAAGTTACAATACTGATGTCAGTACAACACGGGGTTCAATAAATTCATTCCTGCTATAGGTCAGAGATGTATTAATAATTCCTCCAAATTCGCACTAAATTATTTCATTTCCCTTTATCTCAAGTATTATACTATGCATGTTCTATACTATAGTTAGTTATTTGTTCATAGCTGAATTCATTGCGATAAATGAGTATTAAAAACAGAATTACATTCAACAAGAAAAAAAATTAATTCATTTATTATGTACCTTATTTTCGCGTAGCAACTACTTATTTACTTATTTACTACTTATTTATATTTACTTGAACTTGAACAAATACACGTGCCAAACCTCAGAAGTCCCATTTTCATTAAAACAAGTTTATCATATTTATAGTGAATTGAAAAACTAAGATGTGTGCTTTAGAACACACGATATAAGTAATATCACCTACAAGGCCAGATTATTGATACGAAATATAAATTATAAATAATAGCTCATTATAAAAAGTGTAGAATGCTGATCATTTTCCTCTTTTACAGTCCAATTTGTAGTTTATGATATACTTTATTCGATATATTCCATAAAACTCGTTATCATTAAGTTTTCGACACTATTTTTTTCTTTTTCGCCTCCATAACACGGCGACTCCTTCAGACACAATTTTTAATAATAATAACTCATTACAAAGAGGATGAAATATTTTCCTCTCTAACACTTTTTTTTTACCACCTTACCTAGTCATTTCTGCCATTCGGTTACTTTCTCTCAAACTATATGCTGGACCAATTTTTACTTTTGGAGATATTTTAATTCTAAACCATCTTCGCTGTTCCATTCCTAATATGAAGATGGAGTCACCACCCTATTCCGTTACTTAATAGAGACAAAATATTACAATAGAGTATAAAAAAAAAAGCCCCCAATCACCCTCTAGGGAAGAGGCGATTACAAATAAAAAAAAATAAAATCTAAACCAAAAAAAAAACTTCAATTAGGCGACTTTACACGAGTGTTACACGTCGGAGATCTGACGGCACAATTATATTCATTCTCCTAAAAAAAAGTGCAAAACGTGCCTAAAGACGGTTTCCTTTCAAAAATTCGAATCCATACTTAATTCTTATGTTATTAGCGATAACTTTAATTCAGTTTTTAAAACCTGTAAGTGTAGAAAACATTAGAGGGATTGACTTTTTTTTTTTTTTTTAAATACGTCAGAATCAAACCCGACGTTTGCTATCGATACGCTGCCATATGATTTCAAATTTAAATAGGTAATTTCAGACTAACTTTTTTTTACAGCTTATAGTACTACAACAAAAAAAATAAATGTTGTTGTTTTAGTTCGTGGAATTACAATTTTCTTTCCCTGGCAATTTTTTTTTTTTATCTCGGGGTTATTTTATTTTTATATTTTACACATGTTTACTTCAGAGAGCTGCCTGAATAATTGAAAAATCATGTGAACAGGCAGATAGCATCGTTGGAAGATAAAACCGTTGTTACACCGGCTTGCAGTTTATTCTTCTATAAATCAATAGTTTCTTTCTTTATTCTTTTATATTTTTTAACTAGCTAGACAATATAAATAAATAAATATATATATATATATATATATATATATATATATATATATATATATATATATATATATAATACAATTTAGAAACATTTGATTCACAGTTCAATAAACTATTTTTTTTCCTTTGTAGCAACGCAGACCAAGAAGGATGTACATTGATTTTATTTCCTGCTTCACATTACCTCTCTATATGTACACTACAGTCTTCCTGTTTCCTTTCCCTACTAATTGCAGTTACTAAGAATAGACACTAATTACGGAAACAATACTAAACATGACTGCACGTGCTTGCAGCCTACAGTCTATTAATATAATTCCGTCGAAATAAAATTTTAAATAAATGCCAATACTCTGGACTCTGTTTATTTATTTACTTGTGTATTTATTTGTGTATTTATTTTTAACACACCAATTTTATTAAACAATAAATTGTTATCAAAAGAATCCACCCTGCATTTTAGACTGATGTTTACAAATTCCATTAAATATAAGAAAGTATTTAAAATAGCTTCTTAAAAATGAAAAATAAAAAAATCTTATTTAAGAATCAATTAATGGAATATTAAATTTAATCAAGTATAAAACATACATCATGCACCATATACTAATTAATCAGATATTTTTAATTTATAATCATTTTAGCACTGCTATAAAAAAAACAGGATTAGAGAGTCAGATATACCAAAAATGAAGCCTAATAAAGTTGTTTTATCGAAATAAAGATATGAATACATTTTTATAGAAAACATCCCATAAATTCGATAGGGGATTATTTTTTCTTTAATTCAAACGTAAAAATTAAAAAAAAAAAAAGTGACATGAAAATAAATTTAGTTTAGTTGTAATTTGCCTTATTTTTTAAGTATTTAAAAAAAAATTATCAAAAGTTAATTTAATCGTTTTTTTAAATTATAGGTAAGTTATTTATTGTAAAAAAGTTAATTTTTTAAATAGAATTTTAATGTAGTTAAAATCAAATACTATTTCATCTTTCCAAACCGGTCACCAACCAACCCTTCTTTTGTTCAAAAACGGGCCCTTAAGCGTAATTTGTTCGAAAAGCAACCCTATTCTAGTTGCAATGTATTTTTTAATAACTATTCGGATAATCATTTATTTTCGGAAATATTTGCTAAAAATAAAGAACTTCTGGATTTATTTTTTAAAAATATTGGTTTTGATATTAAAATGTTTATATAAAATATGGTTTTTCGTTGTTTTTTTTTTCTGAAGAAAATGTTTTCCTGACGATTAAGATTCACTCTGGAAACAAACGACCCAATTATATATGTTTATTTTGTTGATATTTCCAATAGAATTTTCAATATCTTCTAGGATTGGCCTGAAATTATTTTACTTTATCTAATTTTTTGGAATAAATGAAAGTTTTTGAGATCGAAAAATGTATTTTGGATTACCCGTCTCGGGATCTGCCCTCACAACTGCCACAACCTTAAAACTTATAAATGATATTTTTAAAATTCCTCATACGTTGGTTGTAGATAAAAAATAATTTCATATTTTTATCAGGATTTATCATAGCCCTTGAAAAGTGAATTCTTATCATATCGTTTTAACCCCTTTATATTATAAATGTACTACCATGCAAAAAATTAATTCTTCAAGGATAATGTATATTACAGTCGAAGGCATATATAAATAAATTATATTTATATAAATATTCTAACGTGTGTGTGAATGATGAACTATTGTCCGTTCATCCATAGTAATAATAAATGGCGTTACTTATTTTCTACTTCCAAATAGCAAATCAGTACAATGGTATTCATCATTATATATACACACATAAATATATTTATATAAAACTTTAAAGTAATTAAGCTGCAAACAGAAAATAACGTACCTCTAAAACTTGCTAAAATTCTGAAATTTCTATTCTCGAGAAAAGCAGTGAAAGGGAATGGAAGCGTGTGGAAAGGATTAGAGATAACTGACTTGGGGTAGGTTTAAGCGCGCCTACAGAATTTTAACATCCAAACTTCCACCCCCTCTTTTTGCAAACGAATTTCTTCAAATTATTCAACCTTATGAAAACATTCTTAAAATCATATTACTTTTAT